GTCAAGATATTAACAAGTAATGAGAAATACCTTGGTAAAACTTTCCTCATACTTTTTGTATGAGAGATGTAGGAAATGCTTAATGCCACCTTAAGCCCACCCCCTATCAAAACTGGTGTTCAGATGGTCTCAAGCTATTAAACATAAACTACCTATTTAAACTAACAAACTTCTTATATCTGTTTTAACTTTATCAGTAAATTGTGTAGAAGGTCAGTGCTTTTAGAGCTGCAGAGTCATCATTGTCTGTGTGCAGCAGGGACCAGCTCAGACCAAATGTTTTGTTGCTCTTTTTCTTTTTAATTGACTTCAATTCATTGAAAGATTTCAAACTAGTACATTTTTCTTCTCTATATTCTCACAGCTTCTCAGCATACATTAAAGCTGTGTGGTTTTCAAAAACAATCCTTGCTTTAAGATGATTTTGTCTGCAGTTTACAGTTTTCAGTAATTTATTGAGATGTGACATGAAATGTGAGCGTGGAGTTACAATTCCATAAGAATAGGAACTGAGATTTGCAGAACTTTGTTGATCTAATTAGATTAAATGAGTTAGGACATCATCTAATTTCCCTCTGGGATCAATAAAGTAGTTTTGAATTGGATTTTGAATTGAATTTAAGAAAAAATAAATCTGCTTCAATTATATTTGGCAACTTATTTGTTGTGATAAAATTATATGCTGCTTTGTAAGATCTTTTCATTCCCGTCTAAGTTGCTTTGACTGACAAGATTTGATAAAAGAACAAACAAGGTGTCACTGCAACTTCAAACACTCAGTGATATTTAACTTGACAACATTAAAAAGTACATCTGCAGGAGATAATAAGGCAAAGAAGAAACTGCTGTGATAAAAAACACAATCTAAAACAGGAGTTTTTTCCAGGTTGGATAGCAGTTTAGAGGAATAGTGACCCTTGTGTGAATGAATTGTTTATTTTAGTATTTTTAAAATTAAAAGGAGGTGATAATGAACACCTTGTAATTTTGGTGTGTGTCTTTTATTCATACATACATGAGCTGAAAAATGATGTCTTACAACATGTTTGATAAGAGAAGGACTAGCTTTACATTACATTAGACAGCTTAGAGGATACAAGAGGAGGGGGTGCTATTCTTTASCTTATTTAGATGATTAGATTTAGTTTTTTTACTTTTGTTTTTATTTTGTTTTCCTTCTCTTTTCAGTGCACAAGCCAGGTCATGCCAGTAATTAATGAATCGAGTTCATGCCTTATGGACTCTGGTGGGTTTGATTAAAATGATTTTGAATTTTTATTTTATGTTTTTCTTTTTAGCTACTTAGTTATCTGTTTTTGCAGAATTTGCTTTATTTTTGCACTAATATTTTAGGTTTTGAGGGTTTTTTTTATGATTTTGAATTGTTTGAGGTGGAATAAAGTTTAATTGAATGGGGTGGAAACTTAATTTTGAAGATTTTAATGACATTTCTTCATCAGTGTGCATTGCCAATGCAATGCACACTATTGTGATTCATTTCCCATCCAAGTCATCTCAACTTTGCCATGCTTCTCCTCCTGCATACTTTGTCCTAGAGCTGCCATTGTAATTTATATCTGTAAAGCTCCTGTGCCAAATGATGGCTATGACCTTTGGTGCCTGTACAACTTATATTTTTGGAAATATTAATGTTTAATAAATTATAATGGGGGTCAATGGAGACTTGTATTGGTCCAATACTGCCCCTGCTGTATCTACTCAGAACTGCACCATAGTTTAACAATATTTAATCTCAATAGTTCAGTGTTTACAATACTAATATGATTGTATTTTTGATGTTTTACAATAATATTGTCCGAATATTGCTTTATTGTTGTAATATTTTTCAATTTAGTGACAACCATTACATTGGCAATGTGGCCACTTTCTGCACACATAGAAACTAAACCCTGGCCTCATTCTCTACCAAAGCTCTAATGGTCTCATGGTTAGTGCCATGGGCTTTCATGTAGGAGATCAGGGTTCGAAACCCAGCAACAGTACCTTTAACAGAAAATCTCTTCAAACTTCATATTGTTACACAATTACCTTAATTACAAACACCTGCTGACTTGACAAGCACAAGCTGGTATAGGAAACACATTTGAACTTGGTCACATTTCATTCTGAAAAGACATGCTACAAGGCAATGCACACTTGTTTTTACATCGTAAGAACCCATGCCTAGTTTATTCTYAAGTTTATGAGGTTTTGTGGTTTTTCATTTATCATTTTCTGTTTAGATTTGTTTAATCTATTATTCTAGAAATAAATACCTTAAGCATTTCTTCATCTTGCCTTGTCCTAATTTGCATTACCTAAGGTTCATTTATTTACAACTGGTTGTTATTAGATTAATGCCCTTATCCAAGATAAGACTTTGATGGAACATATGCGGTTAATGCTATCATATTCGCAGATGGCAGGGCTTATGCTTGTGATACTTCATTTTGGACCATTTAAGTTCTTTAAATTTTGACATGTTTGACTTGTTGAATGGATTTACACTGTTTTACATTGCACTTGTTCCTTTTACATTGGTGTTTATTAGTTCCTCCATCCATCCATCCATCCATCCATCCATCCATCCATCCATCCATCTAGTCATTTTTAAATGTTTTGTGTTAAACCAACTGTAAGCTAATTAAACTATGATTAATTCTTAAATATAATAACACAAATATTTAGTGTAATGCATCTTCACCTACCATTAGGATGCCAAATATCTGTGATAAATTTCATTTTAGGTGGCCTGAGGGGGTAGTCTTTGGGAAATGTAAGATGAGCTTTAAACACACCACCTTCACTGTGAACACAAGAAAACACAGAGACGTTACTACATGCATTAAGTTTTCATTGGTTGTAAAGAGTCCATTTTTTTTCAAAGCCCAGCCCGTTTACCAGTCAGACTTACTACAGTGTGTCTGGAGGACCGATGATAAGGACTTCCCATCTGTAGAGATCACTGTCCTCGATGAGGCCGGCTGAGAATCCCTCCACTGGGTTTTTGTTCAGCTCTACAGAAAAAAAAGATCAAACCTCTGACTCTCATATCATAGCAAGATGACACTGATTACTGAGCTCCAAGCTAACGTTTATCTCTGAGGGTCTTCATTGGAGGTTGTGGAGCAGTGGTGAAACCACTTCAACCATAACAGATGGATCACCCTGCAGTCCTGCACTGTCACTTAACCTCTTAAGCCCCAAGGGTTTTCTTGAAGTTTTTTTCTCAAAATACCACGCTGAAATGTAACTGAGTGTATCTCAGCATTTACAAACTCTACTTTAATAATCTTAATATCAAAATAAAGTTAACACTTGGGAGATTTCATCTGAAGTGTAAATATATTTTTCATTAGACAGTATATAACCCATTTAAAACCATAATGAATCAGGGTTAAAACTCTTGGAAACCATAAATCCACTTGTGGACATCACCTGTGCAAAGATTCACGCTGCTAAAATTAACTGGAGTAAAGAGGTTTTAGTAAAGAAATAATTTTACATTTTATCATTCTGCACAGGACAGACCATGATGGTACTATTAATAAATGTTAAGAAATCTGAAGGTTTTACTTCCAAAAGTTATTTATAGTTATTTATTTTTTTCTTACCTGCCTTATAAGACTTGTTATTGAATGTTTGTTCTTTTGAAATTTTATCCAAACATTTGTCACCATTAGGGGTGTAAGAAAATATCGATACACTGAAATATCGCGATAT